TTAACTTTGTTAGATTATTATTTTTTTTTTTTTTTGCCTGGATTATTGAGCGTGCATCAGGATAGCATTCAATAAAGTAAAAGCTCCAACAAAATAAAAAGTGTGAACTAATTAAACATGTCTGGTTGTATGGTGGTAGATTTATTTAAATTGGTTATTTTCACTATAGGTCTAAAATGTGTAGAATGTTTAAAAGTTGCAATTACCGTAGTACTTTCCAGTGTTGTATAAATCCCACCCCACCAAAAACAAAAAATAAATAAATGACTATTTTTTCTTATCCCTTTAATAAAATGTAACAAGTGTATTTCACATTCAAAGATGAGAAAAGATATGTTAAGATAAGATTGGATTTTATTTGCATTTACTGCAAGTTTCTTTTGGCTTCATATTTCAAATAACAATCAGTGACTTCTGAAAATTTGTGAACCACTTAGCTTCCATAAATCACCTAGCATAGTTAGCTGGAAGACATTTTCATACAACTCTTGGAAAGTAATTATTGGATGGGCATCTACAACCAACTGACTTTTAGAGTCACACCAATCCCATGACCGTCACCGCCGCCTGATGAAATTATCAACATAAAATCTATAATTCAGTCAGTTTTACAAATAGATATAATTTGATGTGGTGGTATCTGAGACTCATTCACAACACGTACATCATACTACACATTACATTCAGTTTTCATTTATGTCTTAGTCAGCATCCAATTTTTATTTGTCTATACGGATAGATATTTATTTATCCATAACTTGTCTTATGTTTGATTGTGACCAGGTTGTGGAGGCAACTGAGGAAAATCCCAATCCAGTGACGTTGTCCAGCTTCTCCTGCAGAATCTTCAGTTGTTCCCAGTCCAAAGAAAATTTATCTTCCTTCCAAACAAGACTGCGCTTGAATTCCTCCGGTTATTCAGAAACGGACATCTTTTACTTTTCTATGAATGCACAGTCCCAAAATATATTTTGTTCAAAATCACACAAATATTTGAGGCAAAACAGATTAAAAATAGTCCTCCCTTGCAAGTATCGCAGACAATCAAGAGTGAACAATCACATGGTTTAAGCCGTACATTTTATTTACTATAAAACAAACATTATAGAAAGTTGCATTTACTTTTCTGACTAAAGATGGGCTTCTGAAAAGGGTTGAAACATCTCAACAAAAGGAACAAATTCAAGAAGAACTGATCACGTCCGTTAGAAGTCTAACTAAAAACTGTTAACTGTAAGGAAAAGTTCCTGATGAAGTTTATGGATGAAGCAGGGTCTTTGTTCCTGGAATAAAATTGTAATATGGGTAAGCAGCAGACCTTTGTGGATCATAAAGTATCCCAGATGTAACGTGATGACTTCAGCTCTGTATTTCTCTTACCATTAATTTTACTTTTTGAAGCATTAAAAGGAAGCATTTTCCAAAACCATAGGTTTGGAAATGTGGTTTGTGGTGTGGGTTTCTGGGAACTGGACCAGTGGCACGTCCTCTTTAGAGATGAGGCTAATTTCTTGCTTTCCTCGGTATGAACTGTTTAATTCTATACTGGAAGGGCCCCATTCGAAGCAGCTGCGGGGCATTAGGGCTGTTATTCTCATTTGCAAAAAAAAAAAAAGTGGGATTTTTAGATTACTAAGAAAAAAGTTTAAACCCAAACGAGTCCCACAAATCAGCCCCTGAACTCTTGTCCCCCTCAATTATCAAGATGAATGTTTCATTCTCTTGCTTTAGTAATATTTCCATGAGGATTTCTGCATTGCTCCGACTTTAGCGCTGATTCTCTCCAGACAGACAGAGAAGCAGAAAAGAAATTGTCACGGCGAGCGAATGGAAAATCTATAAAAACCATGGAATGACGACAGGTTTGTAAGGCTTGATGCAAGGAAAAGCACAAATCCAGCATCAAATAGTCAAATTTGACCCACAGGCAGATGTTTTATCTGGGAACTAATCAGCCACGCAGTTAGATTTTAAACCTCTCTCAGACTTATCATAGTTTGAGATTTCCTCAAATATTCCTCACAGAATATTTGAGTCTATTTTTATGTGTAACAAGATAATCATTTATTTAGTTTGTGCAAACGGTTGTGCGCTTGTAAAGCACGCAAAGACAAATATTTACTCTGGAGAATGCACGACGTTCATCTGCTTGACAGGATCAATTGTATGTTATTCACTCTCCCTTTTTTGAATAAACGCATTATGCTCTGAAATTTCATTAAATTGTTGTTTATGTAATGGAAAACCAAAAGGCTTTTATCTACTTATCCTCATCTGACTTTTCTTCTGTTCGTTTTAAATCTTCTAAAAACGTCTGCACATGAAAATATTTTGAAACAATTTGCATAACAGGAAGTGTGCGCCATGATTTTGAAACCACTAGATGAAATGCTTGTAAGCATGTAGATGTTTAACAACCCGTTAAAATACACCAAAATGCAGGAAATCGCACGTAATTTAATCAAAATTTTCAGGAGGAGGACCCCCAGACACCCCCCGGTTATTTGCGTTCCAGCATCGGTCAGTTTACAAGTGAAATTAATTGGTCTGATTATTGCTGTTATGATTCTGTTCAGTTCTATATAAATAGTTTTCTGTTTGAAGACGTGATTGTACATTTATTATGTTCATTATGTGAATGGGTAAAGTTTTAAAGTGGTTTTTGATGCTGTTAATTTTCTCAAAACTGTAATTTTTGAAGTTGAAGTTAAAAATATTGTTAATTAAGTGTCTTGAATGGAAAAATACTGCATGTTTAAAAGTATAAAATTTGTAAAGACCAGCTCTTAAGTATTTATGTTACACACATATTTCCATTGCATCAAAGAGACAGATTGAAGAAAATTATTTAATAAACATGAGGCTTATGAGGGGTCCCTGAAACTTTTACTCCCCTCTAAGGGGTCCCTGAACCCACAAAGTTTAAGAACCCCTGAATTAAACCATTGATGGATTTTTGTGTTGATTTCATAAAAATCAAACAGAGTCGAGACGTGCTTTTTTGATTTGGTTGATCCTTCGTGGAAAACATGCCAAAGTTGAAAAGGCTTCAGGTTTCACTGAAAGTTTGGCAGAGTATCTTGCAAACGTTTTTGCTCTTTGAGACTCTGCAGTGCTCCTCTGAAACATTTTGTCAAGACAATTAGGTTGCCATCTATTGGAGTCCTGCTGCAAAAACAAGTAAATCCCAAAACGTTCATCCACCCTCCATATTCAATATGTTGGTAAAAGTATGATGAGAATAAAAGAATATCTTGCAGAATATTTAGATATGCTCTCTGTAAGTGTTTTGTAATGTAATGTAACACCACATGCTTAGACCTAAAGACCTAAACCTACATGTCACTGCGTGAGTGCAGCTACAGCGTGCACTCAGGACATCATTACCTGCAGTGTTCCCTCAGTGCAGACTTTACTTGGCAAAAGGGCCTTCTCCTACTCCGCTCCCGTTTCCTGGAACATCTTGCAAAAAGATCTGAAGTTCTCGACCTTGACCTCTCTAAGTGGCTTCAAACATCCAAGTTCATGGGAAAACCCAAGGCAGACACGTTCCTGTTTTTAGTTTTCTACATCGCTTTACAATGTAGCAGTTTTTGCTTTGTTTTTTAATACCATTTCTTCCATTTATTTTTCAATTTATATGCTTTTTTCTACTGTTGTCATCACTCTTTGTTACAACAGGTCTCTCTTGTGAATGAGTCCTCGAGGCTCAATGAGACTAGCATGTATAAATAAAGGCTGAATTGAATAAAAATGTCTGGCTGCAGGTCTGAGTGCTTTATTAAACGAACACCCATGCATTTATAAAACGTGTATCTAAGCATAACTCTGGTGGTATGAGTTGAACACTAAGTGACTGTGGATGGTGTCAACTTTCACTTAAAGATATTTACTACATTTTCCATGTGATTACGTATCTGTCTGTGAGGAAGTGTGTCAAAAAGTATTGCTATTTATAATTTTTAGACAGTATTTGTCAAAACAAAATGAAGTTTGATGTACTGTATTTTTCAGACTATAAGGCGCACTTAAAATCCTTTTAATTTTCTCAAAAATTGGCAGTGAGCCTTATGTATTAATTCTGGTTGTGTTTATTGACCTTGAACCCATTTTATGTGGTTACTGTGAATGAGTTGACTAAAATTTGACTTATCTGACTGTTTTGTTTCGCTTCATGCGCCTTTATGTATGAAAATGGACCTGTTCATTGATATTGCGCCTTATAATCCAAAAAATATGGTAAAATTATGACCTTTTTTTTTTTTGCAGTTTCTCTCTGCGCCTGCTTAAAAACGTTTCAAGAACAACACAAGTACCCGAAACCCGAGTGTATCTAAAATACATTTTAATTTTGCTGAAATTGGTTTTCACAATATTGTTTACAATATTAATGCATCTTCATTCTCTTCATCCTCGCTTGGGACTTGGAAACAGAGCTCTACAATCATGTTCGTGTAAATTGTTCTACATCAAGGCACAAGACAACAGCCGTTGTGTGTGGGGGGGCGGCCTTGGGTGGGCGGATCGTTAATGGTGTCCCTCTGTGACGCAGGAAAGCAGGTGACCTTTGGGAGCAATGGGAACTGTTGACGTTTTATTTACATATGTAGCGTTTTGGGGGAGGTTAGGTGAAAATGTGCTCTAACGAGGTGGACGATTGGAAAAAAGAAAAGTGATGACCACTGCTGTTTTCCTTTTATTTTACAATGATTTTCATGTATAAAAAAAAAGAAATCATTGAGCTTTTTTTTTTTTATCTTTCTTAAGGAGATCGTTTGTTCATGTACATAAAGTAAAGTGCTTTTCCCCTTTTTCTTCTTCTCTTATTTGCCAAAAGCAAACAGGATGGAAATGGGGACAAAACATTGTCTTTTTCTGTAACTAGGTGAAAGAGTGGTTAAAGGGCCAGTTCCGGATACGCTGCTTAATTTTGTTTCTGTTGATTTTTGTTCACAGGTTGTTGTTTTTTTTTTCTTAGTTTTTTTTTTTTTATTTGTTTGTTTTTTGATGATTTCTTTTCAAAAAGTCAACCTGAAAGACAAAAAAGGAGAGGAAAAACACTAAATGTTGGTACATAAAAATAAATTAAAAAAACGCTTTAGTCATCAGAGGTGTTTAATCTGTAATTACCATTTTCCTGAAAGTTTTTTTTTTTTTGAGCGCTCACATCTGGATGCTTCTCCTTCGCCTGCCGAAGGCCTTGGCGCCAACGTTGGTGGGGACGAAGTTGCTGCTGCCCATTCCTCCTGATCGGCTGAGGAAGTCCGCCAGGCGGTGAGTCACACAGGTCGCTGTGTTACAGGCTCGTTTCTGTGCCGTAACGCTGCTTCAGGAGAGCAGACGGGGTTAACGCCAAAATCACAGCATGTGACGTTCATCCAATTATTCATGAAACACAGACTTGTACACAAACGCAACCACAGCACAGGAACAAGAACCTCACATTACACAACATCTATTTTCTTACCTTTGGATTCGGTGAGAACTTCTTAGGTCATTTAAAGGACTCTATTTTAAAACGCTTTGACTATCTTTTAGTATATTTAAGAATAAAAACGAGCTATGGCTTCATGGTTAAAAAAAAATACATTTATTGAACAACAAACATGGTGTCGCATGAGTGGATCATTTATTGACGATTAAGATTAGGTGATCTTTCTCAACTCTTAACTTTCAAAGGATCTTAAATATCATCAAACAATTCCACGTACACAAAGACAGATGTCAGAAGAGGCTCCTGAATTACAGTGGAGTAAATAACGTAAAGTCTGATTGTCTAAGATAAAAGAGCGAAATAATTCTCTGCCAGTAAAGGTGGGGAAAAAGTAAAAGGAATGAAAAGTAACTTTCTCCTCATGTCAATCAAGCAGGTAGTCAGCATGCACTTGCCAATATGAAAAATGTTGGGAGGAAAATGAGATGAGGAGAGGAAAGATGATGAGAGGAGGGGGGGAAAGAAGGAGGGAGATTGGGAAATGGAGGAATAAAAAGGAGTTAGATGCTGTCAAACGTCTCGCCGTAGCTTGCATAGCTGTCGCTCTCAGGAGCGCTGCGCTTCTTGCCGGGCGTCCCTGCTCCCACATTCGTGCGAGGAAATGTCTGCAACTTGTGCAGCTCCTGAGACAGTTTGCCCAAGACACAAGTGCTGAGGTTGGAACAGCGCTTGGTTAGAGGCCTGTCCATGCTGTTGGGGAGGGGACACACAAATAAACATGCAGAGAACAGGCTCATAGACGTGGGGATAAAAATACATGCAGGTAGAACATTCCTTATTTGTTTCTCTTGTTTCTCCCTTTGTTTATTTATACTGATCTCTCATGCATTTCTACATCTCATGCCATCAATATAAAAGAGAAAGTAAAAACATCCCAAACCCTTACAGAGTCATGCTCTCACTTCCCTTTCAAGCAATCAAGGAACCTGTCATCTATCCCATCATGCGCAAGAAGAAACCCCCAACCCCCACTACAGTCCTGCATCTTTTGCACCTGCAGAACAAACCAACCGCTTCCTACAAACATGCATACAGTGGCCCTGAGGTGTAAATGAATAACATTTGAAAAAACACAACAAATACACGACATTTGAAAAAAACGGAATTACATTTGAAAAGACAGAATTACATTAAGCCAAAGTGGAAGTGGCCAAAGCTGAAGTGGCTGGAATCACATTCGAAAAAATTGAATTGCATTATAAAAATGGGAATTGCATTAGAAAAAAACGGAAACTATATAATTTCTGAATTATTTCGGTTTTTTAATGCGATTCCGTTTTTCCAAATGTGATTCCGTTTTTTCAAATGTGATTCTGGCCACTTCCGCTTTGGCCACTTCCACTTTGGCTTAATGTAATTCCATTTTTTCAAATGTAATTCCTTTTTTCAAATGTGATTCTGTTTTTTTCATATGTGATTCCGGTTTTTCTTTTCAAATGTGATTCTTTTTTTATATGTGATTCCGGTTTTTTCAAATGTGATTTTGGCCACTTTCACTTTGGCTTAATGTAATTCCTTTTTTTATGGAATTCTGTTTTTTCTAATTGATTGTTTTTTCAAATGTGATTCTGGTTGTTTTTTTTTTTTCAAATGTTGTGTTTTTGTTGTGTTTTCGAATGTAATTCTGTATTTATTTATTTTTCAAATATTGCCCATTTATACCTCAGGGCCACCGTACATGCAGCTTCCTTTAACTCACTTCATGCACGCTTCCAGTCTGACTAGCATGTTCACATGCCTAGCAGGCAATAATAATCTGTTCACAAGAAGTCAAACTCATCCATGCGGGGGCAGAGTCATGACAGAGAATAGGGATTTGGTGTTTTTAGTTTGAATTTTTTTTCATTAAATAAATTGGTCTTTATTGTCTTTTACATACCTTTCTAAAGAACTGAAGTGTCTTAGAAGTGTAGCCGTATCCATAGTTGTTAAAGTGAAACCAGAATATGATGAGGCCTCTTACATGATAAAACAAGTTTTTGAAGGTTTTGCCCATCTGTTCATTCTAAATTTCTCAACAACTCTTTATTTTATTTTATTTTTACACATTTCCCCAATAAAGAAAACAAAAAAAATTTTAAGAAAAAAGTGGAAAAAAGCCATAAAAGTCATATGTACCTGTTTCCTTCGGTCGCCTGCTGCTCTAGCTCCTCCGCTGTCATCTGAACGAACTCCTTAACAATGGCATTTAGTAACCGTCGTGCCTCGTAGTCCGTGAGCGTGACCCGGTCTGACATGGACTCTAAACCTGGTCTGTGGTCAAAGACAGGGTGAGGGAGGGTCATGGGAGGCGTCACAGTGGGAGCAAAAAGAGTGAGGTCAGTATTAAAGTAATTCCTTTACTATAAAGTGCCTGCAGTAAAAAAAAACACACAAAGGAGTGGGAAACGGGAGAGGCTTGTTCGAAGGGGTTGGGGGTGCTGGTAAAAAAAAACAAAAAAACAGGGTGGTTGGGAAAGATGGGGCGAAATGGTTGAGATGTCACCACCTCTGAAAGGGATGACGTCTGAGTTGGAGGGCCAGCGGCCAACATGGGGGGGGGGAAACAATCTGCGGAAAGTGCTCCATTTGAGAAAAAGGGGAGGGGCGGCAGGGCTGATGTCCAAGCAGCTTTACATTTATTACAAAATCGATAACTTCATGAGAACAGTCTTGGGAGTGGTTGGAATAGTTCATATAGATAAATGTGTCATTTATCTTCCTTTGAAGTATGTAACATTTCTGCTTTTGTGTGTTTGCTTTTGTTTTTTCCATTTCTCCTAGTGTTCTTTAAAAAGTTAAACTGGGTACACTTTCATTCATTCACTCTGCTTTAAACAAAAACCTCAACTATAAATTGTTCGTTCATGAGGGGGGAGTAATATTCATGGTTGACGGAAATGTTCGTAAGTCTAGCAGAGAATGCCCTGATAAATTTCTGTCAAGACGTCTGTTTCTACAAACCATCGTCTTGCAGTTAATAAAAATACAAAAAAAATCTTTTTCACTCAGTGTATTTTTTAATCAAAAGCTTTGTAGGATAGGCACAAAGTGTGCAATCACACATATCCCTGTCTTTTTGTGCAGGGACATCCTGAATTTTTTTACCGTTACAAACTCTTTCTATTTAAAGACCGTATTCTACAACCCCACTACTTGTACTGTAATCCCATTACTCATGAACAATGGTTGCGTTTCTGCACGTGTTTAGTAAAGCGGTTAAATTTACGTCAAGCCAGTGTCAAGAGTGAAGCGTGATTGTTGAGTGTCTCACCTGGCAGGGGCGGCTTGTGAGCAGTACATCTGGCAAATGACCAGGGCATAGGCAACAAGGAAAGCAGAGATCTTCAACATAACCATGGTCCCCTAAACAAGGAAAAAGACATGAGCTTCTTGCCCACAAAACCTCTGTCATTCACAAATGTATCTATAAGACCATATCATGCTGGTGGCTCTCGTCTCGTTCTGTAGGGAACAAGTTACTTCATGAAAAGTGAACTCGTCTCCACATCTGTCTCCTGCTGAACGTTCTCGCACACACGACAATCCTTCTGCTCTTCTTCATCAAAAACACACTGTTCCAAAATATCCAGCCGAGAGCACAGGACATGTAGTCCTCACATGTCATACGCAGCAGGTGTGACATGCCTGCAGGTAGTAGCAGTCTGTGTATGTGTGTGTGCATGGGGGGGAGGGCGGGTTGCGAGAGAAAAGGTAAGTAAAGGTCCTATACAGTGCAACGGAGGTAACGCCTGCTGGAAGAAAAGGGGTGGAAGGAAAAGTGCGGGGGTGGGGGGTCCTCCAAAGCTTGCCAACTCCCTAAGGGACCAGTGCATTAGTGTAATGAGCTGCCAGCACTCTTTTACAAACACACACTCTCACACACACACAGAAAACACTGTGTCTGACTGACATGCACAATCAGGTCTAGTTGCTTCTGATCAATTTTCTTTGTTAAATCTGTTCTTTAGCTTTTGTTAAAAGACTTTCTTCTCATCCTTCCTAGGTTTTCTTCTTTATTCTGTTTGGCTCAGTCTTTGGTAAAGATGGACCTCTGTAACACGGATAGGACTGATCCTGAAGACCCCAGACGCTACATGTTATCTCCAACACCATCCCATCCCACAGTGTCTACATGTCCCCTCTGATTTGCACACACACAACAGAAAGTCAAAACGCATTCCAGGTCGTTATTAAAAGTGAAAATTTGTTCTCAGCTGATTAACCCTGATAGACAAAAAGGTCTTATTTGCAGCAGTAAAAGCCAACACTTACCTTCAGTGATGATCACCCAGCGAGAAAAAAATAGTAAATAAATATAAATCTCTATAAATGCCTGTGCAAAACACAAGTTGTCTTTCTCTGAACTTGCAGAACAACTCTTGACTGTTGCATGCAACGCCAACCACCAGCCTATATATCCCACCACTTGGGTTTGTGCATTGACTGTGTAGGTGTTTAATTATCCACCGCTGGCCAATCCCGTTGCGCTGATGCTACGGTGAGCCAATGGGACGCCTCCGCTTCAGTCTTGGCTCACCAAAAAGGAATATGGCTTTTGTGCTGACGTCATTGCTCAGTCACTAAGTGCTCCATTCACAAAATCATACAGGCATTTGGACCATTTGTTATCCCCGTTTTGCATTGATGTCATTAATTAAATAGGAGGCCAAGCAACACTGGTGTCTGTAAGGAAGCGCCACCAGCATTAGGAACAATTAAAAACTTTCCAAAATTTATACATTTTCTTCTATATCTCAATGCCAAATCAATAGGTACACCCCAACCCCACCCCTGGACCAGCATCACCACTTTACTGAATAAGCACTTGCAGGCGAGGCCATCTGCTGGGAAGGGATGCATACTACACAGTGACGCATTTCTGGACTCTTCATTCACAACATTGTTTGGGTAATACCAACTTTAGCATTACACTAACTTTGTCATGGCTTAATATGGACTATAATGAATCAGCTAATGTAAAAGGCTTTTCATAAATTTAACTTGCATTAATAGATATTAGTAAATCACATCACTAGTCACTAAAAACGTTTCTATTAAGTTATTTTAAATTAAGCAAATGTATTTGGAATCTAATACATTATCCCCTCTTGCTGCAGGTACTGCATGCGCACGGTTTTCAGTCAAGCAAAAGCCAAGTTTGATGACCTGCCTTCTCCCTAGAGCGAAACCCGGACCATATTGAGGTAATAAAGTGATACCACAGACTGTCCAGTAATGATCAGTGCTTCTCGGGCCTCCACCCACACACTGAGCAAACGACCAATCGATGACAACCTGCGACAAGAACCCTTTCTCAAAAGCAATTACACAAGTGTTTGTCGTACGCAATTGTCTCATTGCCCTGCCTTTTCATTAGTGGGCAGCACTGCGAGTGTGTGGGGGGGGGGGGGGGAGGCTGCGCCGAAACTATTTCTCATAAGCAAGCATGTGTTTGAAATATGTATATATTTCTGTGTGTACTCATTGCTTCTGCACGGTGGATAAATTGAATGGACATCCAGTAGGTGTGTGTGTGTGTGAGGCTATATGTCAGAGTAAATGAAAGGGGAGGGGTTGCTTCTCCAAGTCTGCGTCATAGAGGAACCCCATTAGACAGGATGAGCCTTTTAGTGCTATTGAGCCACATGGTTCAGCCTTGTCAGCCGCTAAATCACTGCTGAATAGACAGCTGCCGGGCCTCCAGCCACAGCTTTGCGCTCGCTTTGCTATTTGCATATTTGGAACCCTGGACAACTTACTGTGAACACTTACACGCCTAGAATGTCAACTTTTTTTTTAATTTTTAGTCTTTATAAGACGTGTTTCTTTTTCCATTATCATCTCAGTTAAAAAGAGGAGGTGGTGAAAGAGTTAAACAAATGATTTACTCAGACTTTTCCTTGAGATTGTTCTGTTGGTAATAAAGGCGGTTACCACTTAAATAAGAGCTATTTTACAGCACTGAAGTACATTTGAGCCCAAAGTCTTTAATCTCAAATGGTGCTTGCTCTGGTAGATGAAAACCATGTGGACTTGAGTCCATTTGGAGGAGCTGGACCCCATCAGGCCTGTTCAGGTGAGGTATGAAGCAGAAACATAACTGTACAATAAACTGGAACATTCCTATTGTTTATTGTGCAAATATTTATGAAGCATTCACACTATTGTGATCCATTTTTCTTTGTGTGTTTTTCAGCATCTTTCTCGTCCCACAGTTTTCAAGCTATTTCAACAAATCATAAATCAAGACGTTCAGCTCTTTCACGACAGTCCTGCTATGACTGTTGGTATTGGTGAAACTTTAGCTTTTTGAAATATTTAGCCTTTTCTGCCATTTTTTATTTTTTATTTATTTTTTTTGTCATAGTAAATGAATAAAGCTCATTTTACATCCTTAAAATCTTTAGATCCGTTTCCTTCCTTTTACTGCTCCTTTCACATTTTGTTCTGTCTCAGCTTCTTTTAGCTTCCTTGTGCAAATTTAAACTTTTTTCAGCTACATTCAGCTGTTTTTTTTTATCTGTTTTGTGATCCGTTTAGATTCTTTCTGCTAACTATAACATTTTTGTTCTTATAACTTCTTTCTGCTCTTTTCAGCATATTTCTACAAGTTTCAGCTTTATCTGCTATTTCAGCTACTATTTAGCTGTTTTATGCAAATTTTAGCCTTTTCAGCTAATTCCACATTTTTGCACTCATTTAAACTTTTTTCAGCCTAATTCACCAAAAATGTGTTATCTCCATTTCCCTTTAGTAATTTAAGCTTCTTTCTGTTTTTTAGTTATTTTGCTACTTTCTGGAGGGAGGATTTTTTTTTTCAGATAATTTCCACATTTTTATGCTCATTTCTGCTTCTTTCAGCCTAATTGGGCAAACATGTTCTTTTTGCTTTCTTCTGCTAATTTAAGCTTGTTCTATCTTTTCAGCTACCTTTTTAGCATTTTTTAGCTAATTTCAGCTGTTATTAGATACATTCCTTTTTTTTTTGTGGTAACTTCTGCTACTTTCAGCCTAATGAACTTATTTCTACCAATTTCAATTTGTTATGCTACTTTCATGTTATGTCTACTGGTTTTCATTATTTCAGCTACTATTTAGCTGTTTTATACTAATTTTAGATTTTTCAGCTCCACTTTTTTTTTTTGCTAAATTCAGCTCTGTCCACTTCCTTCTGGTAGTTTAAGCTTCTTCCTCTACTTTTCAGCTTTCTTTTTTTAATTTCAGCTTTTCAAAGCTAATTCTATCATTTATGTGCTTATTCCTGCTTATTTAAACCTATTTCAGCAAACATGTGTGCTTTCTGCTTTCTTCTGCTTTAATTTAGGCTTTTTCTTCCTTTTCAGCTAAAATTCAACGTGTTTTTTTTTAGCTAATTTCAACTGTTTTTCATCAAGTTCTTCAGCAACAAGCGTTCACAATGGATTTTCACAGGAAATACAATCTCTAGTTTTAGTTTAAATTTGGCTCAAACAATCCTGGGACCCAAAGAAAATCTAATTTATTTTTTAACTGACAGTACTTTAGAGGTTAAATGACAAGTTTGGATATTATGTAGTAATTATGACAAAATTTTACACAAATTACTTACTGAATGACCAAATAATGACGGTAATTATTGTAGAAGTAATTATCACTGACGTTCAGTTGTTTGGCATCCACACTTTTCTTAATTATTCAATATAAAAATTAGTAAACAGAGAAAGATAACTTTTTACAAAGTACATCTTTATTGTTATTCTTTCTGATTATTTTAATTACTTTTCGGCTGGTTTTTTTTGGCTACTTTCTGGAAGCAGGCATGTTTTTTTTTCTCTTTTTTTTAAATATATTATTTGGTCAAATCCTAAACTGGTGATGCCAACCTTACTTGACCATTTTGATGATCATAGCTTTATGAATGAATATGAAACAACTAAATTTTTACATAGAAAAAATTGCTTTGTGTTCAACATTACATGGTACCTTTTTTAACTTTTTCTTCTTTTGTCCCTGGACAGTGTTAAAGCCTCTGTACCATCACAGGTGTCTGGAGCAGCTGCTGCTTTATTTTTCAGAGTATACGGGTGCAAATTTATGATTTCGCTCCACGTTGTTTACCTTTAGAAGATGTTATCACTCCCAGCAGTAAGATAAAAGCATGTAGTGGCTCTAATTAATTTCTTGGCTATGAACTAAAAATAAATAAATAATAATTACTGTAATTTATACTCTCCTTCTTCTGCTTTAAGTTGGTTCAGTCCCACTTTGCTACATCAATGGCCAAAGTTCAGTGGTCAGACAGAATATGTTTTATTTTTATTTTATATTTTTTGGGGACGGTCAAATCCGCTGCATTTCAAAAGCCGAATTGCGACTGCAGGAGCACGCAGAGGGACTACTCGCTGCGCATTTCTTTGAAATATAACAAGATAACCACCTAAAAACAATTATTTGTTTGTTCGATATTATAGTAAAGGTGTCTCGGTTTCACTTTTCCTTAATAAATGCACTTTAATGGTCAAATCAGCTGAATATCGTCTGGGCGGTGCGGCAAAATGCAGCTGATTTGATGTTTGCTCCAGAAGTTCTGGAGCGAGACGAAGGTGGCTTGCTGTGGCAAGCCAAGTGTCTCATTAATAGACACTTTTACCTATTAATGAGACACTTGGCTTGCCATATGCTCGAGGGCCCTCTAGCGGCTGAAAATGGTAGTGTTCAATATTTTCCATGTCAGAATAAATGAAATTGTCAGATCCCAGCCAAAATGTTTTATAAATATTGGAGAAAAACGAGTATTAGTCGCTTTGCTGAAAAAGTCACAGGCATGCTAATTGCAACTTATACAGTGAAAATTATGGTACCCAGCATTGCTCTCTATTGTATCACAAAATCAGGCTCCCATGGCTACATTCACAATATATTCATTAGAGTTAAGATATATCTGGGTGTGACTGCTGAAATTGTAAATAGCATTCATGAGGGATGTTTCTATACTATCTGAGTGAGTGTTTATAATTTTCTTGCTTCTTTTTTAGAGCAGCCATCCATCAGTGGGAGAGCTGGGGGTTCAATTCCACCAGCAGTCACATGCTGAAGTGTCCCTGGACAAGACACTGAACCCCTCACTGCCTCTGATCTGTGTCCCGTTGGTGTATGAGTGTGTTCTAGAATTGCGCCGCTCAAGGTGGCTGCATGTTGGAGCAGTTCTGTTACTTTCATTCTGAGATTTTGCTTTTGGAAACTTTAATTCCTCTTTTTATGGATGTAAATCACATTTTTTTGGATGATTGTTTCCTCTGGTATCAGATGCTGTGCAGCTGGAAGGATTTTTACTGAAACATTTTTAGTTTTGGACATTTGTTATGATGCGTAACCATGGCAACAAGGCAGTTTTCTACAACCAACAGCAGCTGATTAACATCTCAAAAGCTCAAAT